TTCCTTCATTGCTCGATAATAGATGTAAAGCCGTAGGAGTGCGTTTTAGACTACAGTGACGCAGCTGGAAGTGCTGTTGGAGATCAGTTTGTGTATTCTCATAAACAACGAACGCTCACCACCTACGACTGCTTTCTCTCAACATTCCAATTATCATTCTACCCTTCTATCCAAATGGGCGACCAAAAGACAGCAAACGAAATCGGCGCACGAAAGTGCTCCGTTAATGGTTGTATAAACTGAACTGAAAAACTACTGCCCTCCTAAACGAATACTTTTCTTTCCGAAAACAGTATGCGCGCTATTGAGGCAAAGTCTAGGTCGCCTTAGCTTCCGAGTTGGGAGTTCCACAGGGAGTCATGTTGGTTTTATTGGTCGGTTCGACTGACTTGGTCTCTATTTCTGTTTGCAATGACTCCGTGCTGATCAGATACGCTGAAGACATTATTTCTGGCTTATCTTAAAACAAAACTCTTCTCCCTGCAATGTAGGATGGTATTTCACAACTTATAGAGTTGTCTTCTTTTCTATAAATTTATCCAAATGCAATGATGCCTTGTCATCATCTTTTCGTAGGGGCGAATCATACTTTGGTTCTCTTGTTATTTGCAAGCCGCTAGTCATTACCTGCACACCCCTCAACCGGTGAACATCAGGTAAATATTAGGATGTCACTCTTAACCATTCGCTCTCTTGACTTGAGCACATCAACAATGTTTGGCAAAATTCAGAAAGCTTTCGTTTTTGCCCTACTTCTAAGGCGCTTATTTAATCCCATCAGGTAAACCAGTTCGTAAATGCCCGTAATTTACCGACCAGGTTCTAGGCCCTACCAGAGATTTTCCTGGTTTATTACAAGAGGATAGATATATGTGTGATATCCAGATCACTCGGGAATTTACCAACGCATTGTGGCTGACCCAGAACTCACATAATCCATAACATTGTTTTCCAACACACTGAGGCTTATGATAAACTGGCCCATAAAACAGTCTGATTCTTGTCACCCACATAATTCCACATTATTTAAATGTATTTCAATTTCCTCTTTTCGCTCCAAGTACAAGAGCACAAAAGCGCACCACTCCTCAAAAGATCCTTATCTCGCCTGCTTTCTATGTACCCCGGGGCCGTATTTTCTATGATTAGTCCACAACTTCGAGTTGACTCGGTAAACATTGTATTAACATGTCGCTTCATTCGTGTGGGTCATTTGACAGCTGAATTTGCACCGGATGCTGTAATAAAGCACTTTATTGACTTTGCTTTGCAAGTTGAAACAGCGCGATACCAGTGGGATGCTCACCATAAACTATTATTCCGACGGGCAGCTCTTTCACCTCCCCAGGCAATTGTGATAGAAATATGCCCCGAAGGTGAAACCATGAAACAGACAGAAAATATAATGAGACCCATGCTACTATTGCGTTAAGCCAAATGATGACTGATATAAATCATTAGGAGAGGGATGGCATACTCAGAAATCGTGAAAGTGCGGAATGAACAGAGAAACGCATTCTAAAAATCACGGGTCAATTTAAGTCACAAGTAGCAGATAACGCAGAAGCGCAGAGGTACTACGAAATGGACTTGACGCGTGCTTTGGAGTCGAATCCAGGATGGTGGATTTCCGAAGTAAGAATGTAGTTGACAAGACAAACCGGGAAGAAAAAAACATGTATGGACCAAAGCAAATCACGCGTACTTTCCCAATCTCACAGCATGAATTTGAATGATTCCTGCTGTCGGTTTGCTTCCAACCTTTTCAACCAAACATTAGACAGTGACTTGCCCGTTCTTCCCTATACTGTTTCCGTCGGATAGGTTTGTTCACTGAAAGGGATGGATTCATCGACAGTCCTGTGATGGCATCCTTGTTAACACCGCGGTCAACCGCAAGCCAATCTATGGGTTTTATTAAATGCCTTGTTTCTTATCGGTTATCCTGAGTATTGTATCGGGCGATATTTCCGAAACTACATTTGTTTGTAATGTGGCAGAGAGTAAGTTATCATTCTTACTCACTGCTGTTTCCCTCTCTGCACCTTTTTCCTCACGATCACAACATTGGACACTACGGAAAAGACCCTCCATATGGAACTGAATTACAACTCAACAAAAATGTGACAGACATGCATTAATGGAGTTTGACGAGTGTTGGTAGAATTCTGTTTCCTGACAGATTACAGTGATCTCAAGGTAGAGATTTGAGCAATAAAACGGAGATGAAAATAGCTAAGAGGGACAATTTAATTGTAACCGGTTACATACCGACCATAACCACATGGAAAAGTTATCACATATTCCTCGTCCAAATCCAACAAAGACATCACGGCCGATCCGACCATTTCGACCGCGATACTCAAACCGAGGAATTTCGACTTTGTCCACAGGTGCCCGTCAAGTGCAATGCGCCGGTCTACATTTTCCGCATAGAAAGCCGATATGGGAGGATGGTGAGATACCTGAAAATGAGTAGAAATATTGAGGTTGGCGGTGAGGAATAAAGTTTCCTTCATTGTACTTTGATGATAAGAACAAATTGGTGTACGCAACAAACAAACAGAACAGTTGGACAAATATTTAAAAAATGATATAATAGCGGTAAGCTAGAGTCAGTCACGACATGCAATATGTTTAAAAAGCATGGTAATCGGTGTTCAAGGGCGTCCAGTTCACCACCAGTGGGTTTCTTGAAGGAAACCATTCTATATTGCAGCAAAAAGTTCCACTTAATGAGAAAATATTACCGATGGAGAGGTCTCGAGAACACAGGCCAGCAGATAAACTCGTTGTCCATGACGCATCAGCTGGCAAAGAGGCTGAATCACGAAGTCTGTTATCAGCCAAGGCGACTACCGTTCGCCTAGAAATAGTTTCTAAGACCACTGGTCTTAACATAGTAATCCACCTACAGTTTGTTGACGTAAACTACGCTTATAAACTCTCATTCAGTCATTCACCCACTTGGCCATCTACCAAACACACAAACACCACGCATGCCCATTATCCCAAATAAGTCACTGATTTCTACTAAATGGTAACGATGTACTGAGCAGCGAAAATAACTGCATTCAAACATTGAAAGGGGACGATTTGTTTAACTAGCGTGTACACGAATAAAGCTACAATAATAGATGGTATACAGAAGTATATGTGGCTCAGGTGTAAAATCTGGATTCAATTAAATGATCACACACTGAATCACTATGCAGTGTGGTGTTAAACATAACCCAACCCCTAACTCAGAAGTTGCTTATCTGTCGAACTTCGGTCTTTTAGCACAATTATGCAACATGCGATAGCGAGTCTACGCCGTGTGCGCGTGAGATGGTATTGACTAGTTATTTTTTCGGTAGACCAAAATAATCGAGATGGTTTGGAAGTATCTGTGGGTTTTCATCCAGCAAAGGTATTGTAAATTAGTTCGAAGTGCTTTTCATCTACTCAATTGTTCCCATAGAATGAGTCCTCTGGTTTGATCATCCCCATGTTCCGATAGTGAAAATTCAACAAAACGCACTGTGACAGTACTTCTATCCAGGACCAAGCTAAATAAAAGAGCTCAACAAACTGTGTGGTCTGAGCAATATACAGCTCTCATGTTCAGCATGCTATACTTTTCATGGTGCATTTTGTCGTGTACAGCACAACTGAAACGTTAACCGAAAGTAAAAAAAGTACTGGGTAGTTTTCTCGAACTAATTGAGTCTCACCAGAAGTGCGAACCCGTCGACTCATAGATAGAACGTAACCAAACTACCCTCTATAAAATCGGACACCTCATCGAACAGTTTTCCATTTTGTGCATACACTTTGTTTGGAGTTTCTGCACCGGAGTACAGGAAAATCTAAAGCGAATGGAAAAAACTAGCAAACAGTATCACGAGAAGAAAACAAGATCAATCAACAGAATATCCTGCATTCTAGACTGGGGTAACAATTGTGTAACTTGATAGTGAAAAGCGTAAAAAGAAACTATGAATATCCAATGAGAATTGAGGAAATTAGCTTATCTTATGAACTCTCAATTGCTGATAGGAAACTCACTTGCTCCGCCAAGAACACCACAGAGTTTTTTGGGGCCCAAGGGACAGGTCCCGTCTGACGCACACCTGTCAGCGTAGATGCATCGGTAGCAGTCTGGCTTCCAACATCCGCCCCACTGTCCATTTTCGTATCTTCAGAGTCATTCAGGTTCCAATAGCATCGGAAAATTTCACCCAAGATGGGATTATACGGTTTCTTAGCCAAGGACGAACCTCTTCCAGCATGGAAAGCGGATAAGTACCAACGCAAGCAGCCCACCATTCGATCTTTAGGAGTGGATGCGTCAGGAATGCGAGCCCAAAAGTCAGGATGAGCAAGGAAATCTGCATACATCTCCAGTGTGGATCGTCGTTCAAGGATGAAGGTGGGTAATGTAATTCGAGTTAGGTCCATCCCGATGCGAAGCTGGGATAGAAGGTGCGTGATAATGGACCCCTGGGACTGAACAGAACCGACTGAGGGACAAATTGACAGCACAGAAATATAGTTACGAGGACCGACCAAACCAAAGATAACGGGGGTACAAAGTTTAGACACAATAGAATGATGGGTCATGGAGCTTGTGCGAGACGGATTGATATCAGATGTAAGAACATGGTTTATTCAATACACCTTCTCACAAAAACCTAGAGTAAAAGAATCAATGATTATTAGTATTATTATTTTTATTCGTTGATGCAAGCTATTTTTAACCCCACACTGAAGTGTAATGAACAGAAGCGGGAGTAAACTCTTTGGTCTCGAGGACCTACTGTTCACTCGTGGGAACCGGAAGCCTTGCAGTGGTGAACCACATAACCCTACAACAGCATCGGCTTAGCATAGAGCCGGAAGACACAGAAGTTGTCTACCGCCAATGTCGAGTTTAGTTAGCGGGGTTGGAACTGCGGGCCCCAAGGCCGACACCAGTGACATCCACTTAAGCCACTTCACCACCGAAGCAAAATTGGAGATTTTTCTTCATCAAATCAATTGGTAATTAGAATTGCAGCCACGATGAATGAACTATATCTCGGAGTGCAAGAAAAGCATTCACTAGGAATAAAAAATCCTCGAAATTGAAACAAACTGGAGAACCCTTGAACGCTATCATTAATGGCTGCCGCGTAGTAGTGTGGGTGGGTATTGTTTGCCTCGAACAGTAAGAAGAGTGCAATAAACCAACCAGAAATGGAATGTATGACGATAGAGAACAGGCAGGAACGTCAAGGACAATAATTATGAAGCGCAAGACCCCACTAGGTACCTCTAGATTTATGGGTAATCACCAGGAAATACGCAAGAATCGATGGTGCAGTTTCTCATTAATTCGTACACCTACCCGATCGGTTGACAGCCATTCATCAATCGTTGTCAAACGGTTGCAAGACCAGGGGAATGATAGTTCACTGACTATTTCACTGCCTGACAGAGAATAATTGAAGATAATAAGTATCCTTTTGACGTGAACATGAAACTCGAAAGATCTTGCGTGTTTCTGAAGTCAACTGCATTTTAGAACTGAGCTGGCGCCTGGATAATTGGTTCATCATGAGCATCAGCGCCATGCTCCTAATCCCCCCAAAGAAACCACCGCAAGATTATACGTTGCAGAAGACAGTGTATTGAAAAAACCGTGGGAAGAAAAGGCCACATTCAGAAACACCTGGGTCTCCGCTGCAAGGGAGCATTATTCTCTTATAACAGGAAGCTTTGATGTTAGATTATATTGGACTGGCATATTATAAAGAATCCTCGAAAAGGCACTGGTTCCTTCAGGGATCGGGAAAGCCTAGTTTTTTCGCAAAAGTGAAGCACCTGAAAAAACGCTGGAAACGTTCTAATCACTGCTTTGTCGTGACGAATGGGCTTTCGATGAAGCGAGGGCGTGGTCGAAAAATCAACCTACACAGTTACGAAACCAAGGGTAGTTAAGCGAAAAACTGCTCATGGCCATCCCAAGTTCACAGAGAGCTTTTTTCGCCCAGATGGGTGATAAAATGTATTGGATATCCTGGTGGAGTGATTCTATTTTTCGTCTTAGCTGACCAGGTTAGGGATTGGAAATGGAAACACCAGTGAGGTTTTATTTGTATTACTGTATCTCGCACTTGTCTTAGACCATACCGCATGTCAAACCTATCCCCGTGCAACAACTCTTATAACATATATATAGGTCCATGACTTGTAGCTTTTTGGGAAAGCATTTGCTTTGGCTTGGGTAGTCAGATAGTATTACACCCTCAAACAAATTGTGGATTGATTTTATTACTAAAATCGCGTATACCACAATCCGTTTGACATGCAGCCCGTAATGAAGGAGAGATACCTACAAATGCAAATGCCATACAAGGCTACGAAAACTGATTCGTATAATGTCTTATTCGTTTTCAAGTGGCCAATGAACTTAAAAAAATAAGTGGCGTTCGAATAACTTCAAGCTTCCTCAATTGATACCACACTGGAATTCTCCTGGAAGTTCGAAAATAAAATGTGCATTCTTCAGGAAGAGTCAGCGCATTAACTGCTACAATGCAGTCTAACGTATGGTCTTACTTTTAGCCTCATTGTTTCATTATCTCATTAGAACTGTACAACCAGTAAATGCGATAAAACAGAATTTGATTAGAAATTACAATTTTCCAACATGAAGTAAAACGGTGCGAACTGGGTGGCCACAGCCTTCGTTGCATGCGACCGCAAGGAACTGAGGTTATTGTTCATAATGAAGATAACTATGAAGCTTCTACCCACAAAACTTCGGTAAAGCTGATTTTATGGACAACCGGCTATTTATAGCGATTAAATAGGTAGCACAATAAGGAGTAAATATTGAAATGAGAAGTGAGGAAAAGCAAGTAACTTACGATCTTCTTCGTCATCATCGTCGTACAGTTCGTCAAATACACCATTCTCAACAAGTGCTTGTTGGTTGTTAGAAGATGCCTGGACTGATCGATACCGACCGTAACTAGGCGACTGCCTGAACGAGTGAGGTGAAGTGCAAGACAAACAGCCATAAGCAAAATGACTGAACGGCGCGTTCGGAATCATGACTGGGAATGTTCACGGAACACGCATATATTGTTTATCCACATTCAAACATTCCAAAATAAAAGCCTGACGACGCACGCTTGAATCACATGGTAAATCCTGGTGTGTGGCACCAATAACTGTGCTTAGATTGTGATGTGAGGCAATATGAGATGTGAAATGAACTATGCATACAACCTGGCAAACGCGCATGCACGCATTAACCATAGCTATACTTAACTAGACATTGTAATTACGATGGACTGTCGTTTCAAATCATACATACCAATGAGTCAGATCTGAACGAAATCCCACTTACCAAGATCACGCGTGCATTCATGCAGATATGAAAGTGGAATTCGCGTGTGTGAAACAACCGGGACAGTGCAAGGACAAAGATATGTACAATTGGCTGGTACACTGCTTAAGAATCAGGTGAGGTCTGTCTACATTGTGCGAACTACTTGCTTGTGTAAAGATAACCTGTCTGTTCTCGATTGGCCGACAGACTGATGTAGAGGCTAAGAGTCACAAATAAACTAAAGAAAGGATTTCCGTACCAATAGGGGAATTCAGAACGGTCATGAATATATACAACAGAAAAATGATAGAAAAACCAAGAAAACAGGATCCACGGAAAAAGTTCATTCAGAAACGGTAACAGTTTGTATCCAATTAACCGAGCTGGACATCAGATATGGAACGGCTGTACTCCCACAAACAATTACCTTTTAGTTTATAAGGCCATCTCATGAAAGACAATGCCCGTTTTTAATCAGTAGAATAAACGATTCAAACTATGCTCAGCAGTTCAGTTTATACAACGATGACTCTTGCACTTTCGTGCAACAGTTTCAGCCGCTTGTTTATTTGGATGACATACGAGGAGACCAGACGGCTAGGAGCAGTACCACGGTAAAGAGAGAATGCAGTTGAACTAGTCAAAACGGAGCTTGAGCTACCCGTCAGGTTGCACACATCTGCGTGCATGCACGCATGCTCATGACGCTCCACGCTCAGTGAGTCCGGATTGGATGACTGCAGAAAGGAACCAGCTAGTGATTGTCCGATCGACCAATCGAAATGTCAAAGACGCTATCTGATTGGTGAGCCACTGCGCCGTTCTCTTATGCCTTATGTACCCCATATATTTCCGTATCGAACCATGATCACCGAATATACTCTGGCTGTCGTCTCGAGTAGTGGGGAGGTTAAGTCAGAGGCGCTCATGTCAATCGTTCGAATGGAATAAAACGGAACTAACTTCAAACGAAAAGACCATATCGCAATATTGGACAATTTATATCCGAGGATTTTGCTGCATCTCAACGTGGCGCATACCGCAGAAAATACAATGTTTATATAGGACATTAGCATGGCAACAAAGTAAAGCAAAAGACATTAAAACAGACAAACATAAAAGAGAAAGGGGTAAACGGATCATGCTACCAGGGTAGGGACAGAGTAACATAAAGTTCTTTTTATTGACACAGGGGGGCTCTATTTAAAAAAACAGCCCTATCACTTAGCGTCGCTAACAATCGGTTAGACTAGTGCGGAGGGTCCGAAACGGAAAGCCCAGTGCCACCTATGTGTTCTAGTTCGCTCGTCAGGGTTTGCATACTCTCATGCCAAGTCTTACACTGACTTTGACCCTCTTCCACGTATTACTTGATCAAAAAGCATCGAACGCTGGTAACTGCGGAGCACATGACGAAACCATGCGAATCTATAGGGGCTGAGCACTTGCTCCAGTCTTGCAAACTAAAATTCCGTCGTACATCATCGCCTGACGACTTT